CCTTTTCCTAAGCCCAAGTTGGTCCACATCAACAAAGACTTACTTAGGGTGGTTGAGTACGCGGACCATCCACCCTAAAGGTTCAAAGCACCCATTACACTTTCTCTCGTTGGTAGAACTAAGAAAAGGATTGGACGGGAACATATGGAGGAGAGAGGGCTCTGTGATGGAAAACTTAGAGAGAGAAAGCTCTCTCTATTGGGAGGTTAGAGAGACATCCATTTCGTGTTGAGAGTTGGGACTTCAAAAAATTAGTGATAATTATCTTTGATAATTTGAATTTATTGTTATTTTTTCACAAAAAATATAATATTTACATTATTATCGTGATGAAATGAATTTATGATAATACTGTAGGCATCGATAATGTGAGAATATTGTTTGTATGAATGGCTCTAATACCATGTAAAAATATTATTTTTTTTGATGTATAAAATTGACATTACAATGGTAGATTTATACAGAAAGAATTTACATGTACAAGTAATATGCAGTAAATAAGTCTATAGGATAGAGTTTCTATATAATTTTAGTCTACAATCGTGCACTTGCATGTTGCTATATATGCTCATAGGCATTTACATGTTGCTATGTCTGTTCACAAATAATAACCTTAGATTGCAACAATAGATAACTTTTTGAAGACTAAATTTTCATAATAAAAAGATTTCAAATAAAAGACCCATTTTTAATATAGTAACTTGTTACCTAAAAGGAGCAAAATTCTATAATTTTACTATTTTTTACTGCTAATTTATGGAAAATTCTTGAATGCAATTTAGAATTTTCAATTTAAAAACTAATCATCGTTGCCCAAGAAATACCTTTGATAATTTGTCATCTAAATATTTTTTATTTTTAAAAGAGATTTAAAGATTACACAAATTTTGAATTGAAAAGAGGGTCGGATTTTAAAAACTTGACTAAATAAAAGGCTCTCATAGGGAATTTATATTTATTCCGTGACGAAGAGAAAGAAAATATGATATAGCTTTTAGGTATATTAACTTTCTTGTAAAATCCTGATAAAATACCCAAATAAAAAAAAGACATAACTAAGAATATCCTGATAAAATTTGTCCGTGATAACGATAAGGATAATTTAGAGAGAGAGAGTGCAGGGTTGATTTTGTAGCGGACGTCGTGGAGAAAAGTGATGTAGGACAAGGATGGGGCGGCAAAAGTGAGGGACGAAGAAACAGGGGGAATGTAGGGGGGAATATCCCATCCTCAAATTTCTCCTATGTATTGTATGCTATTTCTCTTTTTCAAAAATCTAAACTGAGCCTACTTTTTGAGGTTGACGGCTGATCCACGCTAAGCCTAGGTGAACCCATCACTCATAATCACCATTGCCAAAAAGAAGGGTGAGGTTGACGGCTGATCCACGCTAAGCCTAGGTGAACCCATCACTCATAATCACCATTGCCAAAAAGAAGGGTGGGGTTTGTATAGAGCCAAGGCTCTAAACAATCAAAATAGAGCTCACCTTCAAATAGTCTTAAAAAATGCAGTTTCAATATTAGAAATCTTTGTGATAGCTTTAAAATATAATTTTATATCTAATTATAAAATTTAAAACTTCAAAAATAGTGTAGATCGAGCATATCTATGAAATATTAAAAATTAACGGTAAAAATATGCATTACAAGATGCACTATTTTTAAAATTGAAATTCATTTTCTTCTTGTATACATACATATTGATATCGAGACGATCAATTTCAAAATATTTGAACATCCAAACAACTCTATTAGTAAAATTTTTGAGATGTGATCTAATTTAATTGTTTAGAGCCTCAGCTCTATAAAAACTTCATACTTTTTTTCTTTTTTTTTTCTTGTAAAAAAACAAGGGAACATAAAGAACAACCTTATCTTAATTCACAACCATGTCACGATATTCAAAGTGTTGTAGGCCATTAAACAAAAAGGGACGCAACACCTACTTCTATCAAGACGGTCTATATCCACCAAAGCAAGATTACACCGTTTATCACTTCCACAAAGAAAGGGGTTATTCCAGTCAAACATTCAAAATGAGCAAAAAATTGTGACCCAATTTTTTTTGCTTTTCAAGGTCTTGGCTAACAATGGGTTTGGCAGCCGGCCCCACCGAGTTGGTTGGTAGGCTGTCCTACCCGGTTGTGCCAATGGCCTGTCCCGCCCAATTGAGCTGATAAGGCTAGGTTAGAAACTATAGCTCGAGGGCTTGGCACGACAGAGTCAGTACCGACACGGTTAGGCTTAATGCAGTCTTTTTTTTTTTTTTTTTCTTTTTTTTTTTTTTTTGCTCTTAATTTTAGTTTTTATTCATTTGTTTTAGGCCAGGCAAGGGCTAAGGCTGGCTAGGCCCATTGCCACATTTATTCAAAGAATTTGTCTAGAAATTTGTATAACATTTTTGTCAAAGGCAATTGCTAGACAACAACAAGGTTCATTTCGGAAGAATGAAATAACCCATGTAATGTCACAACAGCCTAGAGACAACTGGAGAGAGGTGTTAGAGAGATGTTAAAAAGTCGGCCTTGCCTGGCCCGGCCCTTTATGTTTTTTTTCTTTTACATTTTCTTCAGTTGTTAAGCCCAGCCTGTTGCCACCCGTGAGAAAGAGAGACAAGGTACGTGTGAGTGTTAAGAGAGGGAGAGAGCGAGAGAGTCGTGGGGTTGGAGTAGCGGGAAGGTATGGTGTGGTGGGGCGCAAAAGGATCCCCCCGAAATCGAGATGACAAGAAGTACCACCTAAGTCTACAGTCTAAGACTGCTTTGGCAGGTACAAAATTACAAATTGAGCAGACCTAGGAAAGGAAAAGCAACATTGCATTAGAGTACCTATTTATAGAAACAAAGATACAGCGTTTGATTTTGGCGTCCGCGGTATAATTAAATAGTTCAGTACAAATCGAATCGTCATTTAAACAAAAATGGGGTTTCTATGAGTTACGGAGTCGTACGGGCCTCACTTAAACCTATTTTAAAAACAAATTTCTAGTTTAATATGAAAAAAAAATAGAGTTCTTAAAATTTTAAAAGTGATTTTAAAAGAAAAATTCTACACCATCTAAATTCATTTTAGCTTTCGAGTTTTTTTTTTACAACGTCCACCTTAGAGATGGACATTAGTGTGTCAGCGGGCCCTTACACCCGCTGGAGCGGGCCCTTACACCCGCTGGTTCATGAAGAACGTTGATGTGTCAGGGTATGATTTGCATAATGTTGCGATCCTAAGCAACTAAAGTAGGCTGCAAAAAATTTAGACTCTTTAAAGATGGTTCAAAGCAAGCTTTTCTTCACTTACATAGTAAAAGTCCCATAAATATATAAAAATCCTGAAAAAAAAGACGGTTCAAATAATATTTTTAAAATTACAGTATTTTTAGGAGTCGAGATTCTTTTTTTCATATATATCCGTCTTGATGCTACGATGGATTTTTTGAGTGCCGCCTTAATTTCACATTTTAAGGCACGGAAGGCCAAAACGCAAACCGATGAGGGCGCACGCTAGGCAACGGGACACGTTTTAGAGAGAGAAAGGGGGATGTCCCAATTCTTTCGGTAAATGATTGCGCGGCGCTCGCACACACCGCTTGCCACGCTCCTCCCACGTCCCAATCATTTGCATTCTAGAGTGAGAAAGAGAGATGAGAGAGAGAGAAACAGAGACAGCAGCGAGAGACGCTTACACTTTACACGGTGTCTAGGGCAGGCTACGCCCCTCTCCGCACGTACGAGCGGGTGGTGTATGAAATAGGCCATGCCCATTAAATGCGAACGTGCGGAAAGGGCCGCAAGCAACCGTCACGCTCTGCCCCCAGATACAACATCTGCGCCCGTCTGAGCTCTGATGACGTGGCAGTGTGAGTTGGACTTGACGGACTTATGGTGCCATGCGTTGCGATCCCTCATGCCATGCCCTACTGGTAAAGTAGGAAATCTTTTGGTTTAATATTTTGAATATTTATTTTCGGTGAATTCCGCCAAAGATATCGTGTGAGCGCAACAACTATGTGATGAAAATAGAAATTGGGATGAAATTATTCTAGGTGAGGCATGAACGAGCTTTCTTTCTCTTTTATCAGAAGTTATAATAAAGAGAAAAGAAATTGCAAAAAGCGGCTTTGGGATTGGAATAGGACAGCAGAGGGAAGGCCAAAAGGCCTCACATGCAACTTTACGATCGTAAACTGATCATATAATTATTTCTTTTCTGTTTATGGGTTAATGAGATGCATAAGGTTAAACGAAACAAGCCACAAACAAAGCGTCCGTATATAGAGAGAAAAAGCTGCGGCTCCTTTTCATTCAAATAAAAAGGGCAGTCACGCACAAACAAACACTCGGTTAAATTTGGGAAGCCACGTGGTTGTGTGCGGGTGTTTTGGTGCAAAATATCTAGCTTGTTAATTCAAGTTATTATGAACTTTTCCTCAGATTTGGTTCATGCAGTGCCTGTTTTCTCTCGGAAGGCTTAACTTGCAGGAGGTTACTTGCAGTAAGGATTGCTTTTGAAAAGCGCAGAGATGGAACGTGAGGATCACAGTGTTAGAAGGCAAACCAAATATTTGAGTGGTTCAGATGGACGGTTGGCATTCTTTCCAGAGAGAGGAGAGAGAAGATCAAAGAGACGATAGGAGATAGGTACAGACTAAGAGAGAGGAGAGAGAGAAGCTTAGGAGATTGGTACAGATTAAGAGAGAGAGAGAGAGAGAGAGGGAGAGGCGTGAGAATGTTGTAGACGTATCAAGGGCGGCGAGTTCATTCCCCAGGGGCTCGGCTACGGGGGTACTTGCGAATCATCTCAAGACATGGATGTTTAGCACGTGTGATGCTTCTCTAATGATTACGTTAATGGTATGGAAGCCGAGAGTGAAAGGCAGTGGCGGTGGGTGGAGAGAGGAAAAGAATTGAAAGGAATATCTTTATTATCCTTCTTTGTTCATAGCTACATTTTATAATACATTTATTATTGCCTTTCCTTCGCAACATCCTCGCATCTCTTCTCTCTGTTCCCTTCCCAGTTTCCTCGCAACTCAGTCTCTCTTCTTTCTCTCTGATCCGCTCTCTCTCTTCTTTCTCTCTCTCTGTCTCAGTGGTCACTCCAATCGAAGAATTTGCGAATATCTTCCCACTCTGTCCCCCTTTGTCTAGCACTCAATAGCCATAGCTCCCAACTCCTAACCCACAGGTCCCTCGTCACTTTATTTAGAGATATAAATCCATGCGTTTGGAGATGGGCAGAGAGATACTGCTGCATCGAAAAAGTGATATTTAAAAAGTGGGAACAGGCAAAAAGGTCACACAAAAGGATTAAAGAAGAAAAATAATGGAAGGAAAAATGGCGAAATCCAGGTTCAAGCGGGTGTGCGTTTTTTGTGGGAGTAGCACCGGGAAGAGGAATTGTTACCGCGACGCCGCTGTGGAGTTAGCCGAAGAACTGGTTGGTTCCTACGCATTACCCCTACTGCAATACCATCTCTCCCTCCTCTCTCTCTCTCTCTCTCTCTCTCTCTCTCTATTGCACATCAAAACAAGAAAACCAAACCTCAATTCAGTATGTGTGCTTAGCTCCTGTACAAAAGAAAACACCCAGCTTGAATGCCATTTCTCTTTTCTTTCATAATAATCAGAAAAACTTCCTTGATCTGATTATTTAATGGGTCTCTCTCCCTCTCCAGGTTTCCAGGAAAATGGATTTGGTTTATGGAGGAGGAAGTGTGGGGCTCATGGGGCTTGTCTCTCAAACGGTCTACCGAGGAGGAGGACACGTTTTAGGGTACTTGTGCTCTCTGATAATAATTTCTTTGGCGTCAATAGAAATGTAGTCCTGTATTTTGTGTTTCTGAAGCTTTTACTCCATGTTTGTTGTATCTTCTCGCATAGGATCATACCCAAAACTCTCATGTGCAAAGAGGTAAGCAAAGTGGAAACCTCTGATCCTTCTTAACTCATTGAACAAAAGTCTTTCTCACTCCTTATTTGATGCGGCTTTTTTTTTTTGTATCAGATAACAGGAGAGAAAGTGGGGGAGGTAAGAGCCGTGGCCGATATGCATCAAAGGAAAGCAGAGATGGCCCGTCATTCCGATGCATTTATCGCTCTACCAGGTCTTTTCTTAATCCCCTTCTAATATAGAAAGTTGCCAGTATCTATCTCTTCCCCTTTCTCATCAGGTTTCCTCTCCAATATTGCCCCATGTTTTAGGCAAAACCTCCCCCTCTCTTCTCATCTTTGGCTGCATTAATGCTTGTTATTTCCTTTCCAGGGGGTTATGGGACCCTCGAAGAGCTTTTGGAAGTAATAACGTGGGCTCAGCTCGGTATCCACGATAAGCCGGTGAGGGCTCTAAAAAAAAATCATATATTGAAATTGGATCAAGAATTGAGAATTTAGAGTGAAATACTGGGTTCATTTCGGTGAAAACCTTGAACCTCGAGAGATAAAATGGGTTTTTGTCAATGTGAAATGCGATGCCAATGTTTTTAGAGTGAGAAAATGGGTTTTCTTGATGGAAAAGTTTTAAGAGTGAGTGAGAGAATGGGGTTTGTTTGACAGGTGGGTCTTTTGAATGTGGAAGGCTACTACAACTCTCTTCTCAGCTTCATAGACAAGGCTGTGGACGATGGATTCATTAAGCCATGTCAGCGCCATATATTCGTTTCGGCACCGAGCGCCAAGGAGCTGGTTCAAAAGCTTGAGGTTGTTCGAATATTTATTTTGCGAACATTATTTATTAATGGGGTGGTTACCCACGAACATATTGGTTTGATGGGTGTACGGCATAAAAACCATAAAACTATAACCCAGGTTATGAAATTAAACAGGACTATGTACCAGTGCACAACGGAGTGGTTCCTAAGGCGAGATGGGAAGTGGAGGAGGTGGAGTATAATTCCTTGTTACAGGCGGAGTTTGCTCGGTAACGCGACAGTAGGAAATAGAAGAAGACAGAGAACGCCACTCACTATTTTTTCTGCCACATGCAACAGAGTAACAGAAACCTTCTCTTTAACTTTTGCGCACTTACTCTGAAGTACTTAATACATGATCTATTTTATCCATGATGTATCCCTAACTTTTGCGCGCTTATTCTGATGTGTCTACCCAACTCACTCACCATACTCATGGATGTATCTAATACATGATCATGTATCTATGAAATCAGTTATTTGTTTAATTTGAAGTCGTGATTTGTGTATTAACTGCATCGGAATCGAACGGGACTTCCGCCGAAGGTTTGTTTTGGGATGGTTTGGTTTGGAACTTTTTTAGAGAGAGAAAGTATTGGGAACGGTAAAAAGGTTGTGGTGGCCTAACGAACAGCGAAAAGGTGGCATGTGGAGTGTGAATTAATTAATAGCCCATGATTTCTCAACCCATCATTCTTCCATGTACACACAAATTCAACTCACAGCGTACATACTATTTTTAGGGGTTGGCTACGCCTCTTCTACGCTGACCTCTTCTCGACCTCTGTGCCACTCTTTCTCTCTCTAAATCCGTTCTCTCTCTCTAATATGTTCCTCTCTCCGTTGACCTGCGCAGCCATCTCCATACACTCATGCATTTATATACTATTCCTATGTGTACATAACCGATACTCCATACACCAATGCGTGTATTTAGATACTATTTTCTACCATGTGTACATGATACAAAGCCGGGCCTTGAGAAGTAGCGCCGCACGGTTACATCTCCGTGCTCTTATGTTTACTATCGTTTTCTACCAACTACTTGTCGAACCCCCAACCAGAAGAGTTCGTAAACTTCAGAGGCCCTCTAAAACAAGCTTCAAGTATGCTACACGATTTTGTTGGGACAGCCGACTTGCGTTTTTTTTCTGGTTAATGTCTATCTCTAATATGAATGTTCACCAAAAGGGTGGTACGGTTTGTATAAACAATCAAATTATAGCCCACTTTCAAATAGTGTCAGAAATGTAGTTTTTATATTAGAAATTTTCGTGATAGTCGTCGAGTATACTTTCATCTTTAATTATAAAATTTGAAGCTTAAAAAATAGTGTATATGGAATACATATGAAAACTTGAAAATCTTAGTAAATTAACGGTCCAAAAATATTTTACAAGATGGACCGTTTCCAAAATTTGAAAACTATTATTTCCCATTATGTCCATGCATCAAGATTATTTATTTTATGTTGTTTGGGCATCAAAACTTGTTCTAGTCAAATTTTTTATAGAGATATTTAAAGAGGAAAATTATATCAAATTTTAAGGAGAAAAAGTACATGAATTTTTTGAGAGAGAGATGCTATCTCAAATTTAAAGTTTTAGAGATTGTATAGTAAAATTTTAGAGAGAGAAACTATATCAAATGTTAAATCTTCGAGAGAAAGTATCTTAAGATTTTAGAGAGATAAACTACAATAAATTTAGAGAGAGGAACAACTTAAAAAATTAAATTTTAGAGTGAGAAACAACTTAAAAAATTTTAGAGAGACAAAATATTTCAAATTTTAAGTTTTAGAAAGAATATAGTTAAATTTTAGAGATAACTATATCAAGTATTAGATAGAGAAATTACGTGAACATTTTTAGAGAGAGAAACTATCTTAAATTTTAAGTTTTATAAAAAGAAAATATTTTAAAATTTTAGAGATAAAAACAATATAAATTTTTAGATAGAGAAAGTACTTGAAAGTTTTAGAGAAAAAGTATTTCAAAAGTTTTAGATAAGAAACTCTCTCAAATTTTAAGTTTTAGAGAAAAAGTAAATTAAAATTTTGAAAAAAAATTACTTAAAATTTTTTTGAGAGAAACTATTTCAAAATTTAAGTTTTAGAGAGAAAAAGCATCTAAAAATTTTAGGGAGAGTAACTATATTAAATTTTATAGTGAGAAAGTACCTAAAATTTCTTAAAGAGTTAAACTATCTCAATAGTTTTAAAAACAAATTACCTCAAATTTTAAGTTTTAGAAAGAGAAAGTACCTTAAAATTTTAATTGAGAGAAACCGGATCACATTTTAGAGAGAAACTATTTGAAATTTTTAGAGTAACAAACTATCTCAAATTTTTTTATTGAGAGCAACTACCTCAAATTTTAAATTTTAGAGAGAGAAAGTATCTCAAAATTTTAGAGAGAGAAATCAAATTTTATAGAGACCAATTATATCAAATCTGAGAGAGAAACTATCTCTAAAATTTTAGAGAGAGAAACTATTTCAAATTTTAAGTTTATGAAAGAAAGTGTATGAAAATTTTAGAGAAAAAACCATTTCAAAAGTTAGTGAGAGAAACAATCTCAAAATTTTGAGTTTTAGAGAGAGAAGGTATATCAAATTTCATTTCCAAACAAATGGACATTGTAAAGAATAAATGAATTTTGTACTATATATCCAAACAAGAGATTTGAAAAATCCATGACAAAAATCCTTGATATTGAAAATCATAGATTTTCTTACATTTCAAATATCCAAATGGGTCGTAATAGTTTTCTCTCTCATTGCTAAAGGAAAATATATTGTAACTAATTGAAATTGAATTTTCTAGTTCCTGCAACGTTCTATCTATAAAAAATTTCTCTCTTTGCTAGAGGGAAACTTGTCTCGAGTCACTTGTTTCCCTTTCTTTCTTTGAATGGGTACTTGCTTATCCCTCTTACTTGAGTGGAGATATATGTCTTAGAAGGGAAGTGTTTCAAGGGTCAAAGGTCATTTGTATATATTTGTGGATGTTATACCGAAGAGAGAGACGGAGGATCTCTAGTTACTTTTGTTGGTGTTATTCTACAGCGAAAGAGCGATGCGCTGCTGTCTTGGAGTAGTAAGTATATCATAATCCTAAGGATTTATGGAGGAGCATGTTTGCTTAGAGGCAGGCGGCTGTCTTGGGGTCATTTATAGTTCGGCCCTCCAATTTCATTTCTGTTGCCGTCGAACGTAAACACAATGAGACAACTATCTTATAATTAAGATTTACAGTTTACCCTTCAACGCAAAGCACCAAGAGACCTCTTGCTCAACTGGCTTATCCACAAAGAAATGCATAGAATTTAGGAATCAAACCTTCCATGGTGCAAGCCTTAATTATTCTTCATATCAAGGTTGATAGAAAACGGATTGGTGACCTGCATCGGCTACCTCAAAAACCACATTGGAGTGGTGGATAGGAGGAGAATCGGTGGTGCTTCAATTTTTTTTGAAAAATCATTATGATTTTTCAAAATAAAATGTTTATATGGAGCCGAGGCTCTAAACAATCAAATTAGAGCCAACCTCAAAAGATTCGCTAGAAGACGTTGTTTTGATGCTCAAATATCCTCAAATTAATCATCTCAACATCAAGATGCGGATATGAGAAAAATATGGATTTTATGTTTTGAAAATACTGCATCTTATAATACATTTTTAGACCGCCAATTTTTTAGATTTTCAAGTTTTCATGGATCTGCTCGATCTACACTATTTTTGAAGCTTTAAATTCTATAAGTAAAGATGAAAATATATTTTATGACTATCATAAAGATTTTCAGTATTGAAAGAAAATTTATGGACACTATTTGAAGGTGTGCTCTACTTTGATTGTTTAGAGCCTCGACTCAATACAAACCTCACCCATTCAAAAAAGCATAGTTTTTTTAGGTTTTTGAAAAAGATTATAGCACTTACAAACAATTTTTCATTATTGTGTCAAAAATGTATAAATCCTGCGAACCTGTTTCATGTCTAAGTGTTTGTTGTCTATTAAATTCATTTGATAGCCAAATTAAAGTTTAAAATGCTACCCATGGCAATAAACGTATCTCTAACTTTGTTTCTTTTCTCTCTTTTCTTTTCTTTTTTTTTTTTTTTTTTTTGTTGTATTAACTTAGAATTTTCTAGTTTTAAAATAAGTCATAAGAAACAAATTTAGTGGGGCATGCTGTTAAGAGAGAGAGAGGGTGCACTAACATGGTGTTTGGAGAGAAAGAGGGAGTGAGAAATACAGGGAAAAAATAAAAAAATAGAAAATAAAAAACACATAAAAGGTTGAGAGATTATATCTCTCTCAGGGTCTACAAGGGAATCCACCGCCAATGATCTCTTCACAAGATCTCAACACATTTCATTCTTCACCAAAAAAACCACCCTCTCCAAGAGAGAGCTCCTCACCTTAAATACAAGAACACAAGTAACTAGAAAACCCTAAAAAGATACTACGAAATCTTAGCTTTCCATTATATCTAATCCTAACAACCCATTATTTACTTCAAAATAAATGACTAAACTTACCCCTAATGACAATAAAAAAAAAAACTAAGATAAAAAGAATAATAATTACGAAACCCTAAAATATAATCCTTCATTAAAATCCGTAATATTTTTTTCTTTTTTTTTTTAAAAAAAAAACCCTAAACTGGATCTTCCCATGACTACGTCAATCTCCTATGGTTTGGAAAAACTCATCCTCTAGTTTGAAGAGAACTAAGATGAAATCTATATCAAATCCACATCCTTCTTTTATCATCTTCTTCTTTGGCTCCAAAAGTATGAATGGTTGTGAAAATATCTCAAAGAGTACAGCAAAATATAAGGAGGCGGAAGTAATGTAAATATCTTGAACTCAACAATCCTTTTATCATTTATGGGTTGGTGATTGACATTTGCATCCTCAAAATCCAACGCCTTGCCTGAAATAAGATTTTCTAAATGATTTTTCACATGCAGAGGAAGCTCAACCTCAGGAATATCATTTTGTATTTTATATTCTATTTCTTTTTCCTTGTACTCGAAGGGCTGGATCATTGAACTCTTCACTAACCAAGGCTGCAGAAAGTTGATTAGAAACAAGAAGAAAGTCACCTCCTTTATCATTATTGCTTTGATCTCGAACACTACTCTCTTGATTCCATTGACATCGAAGCTGACCTACCTCCTACGTGAGCTCTTCTACTCTATCAGCTAAAGGCATGAATTTTTCTACCCTCTCTACTAGGGCTTGAATTGATTGAAACAATCACAACTTTAATCTTTTGAGAGATGCCTCGTTTGAAGCCATCGTAACCCACTTTGATATCAATTAATGTAGAGAAAAAAATAAAAAATAAAGAAATATATATTTGAGAGATTATACCCTCTCGCAGGGTCTGCAAGATAATCTACCCCCAATAATCTCTTCACAAGATTTCAACACATTATTTCTTCACCAAAATAACCACCATCTCCAAGAGGGAGC